GGAATGGGAACGGTCCCTTGGGAATGGGAATGGCCCCTTGGGAACAGGGAACATCCCCTCAGGAATGGGAACGGTCCCTTGGGAACGGGAAATGGTCCCTTGGGAACAGGGAATATCCCCGTGGGAATGGGAAACGGTCCCTTGGGAATGGGAAACGGTCCCTTGGGAACAGGGAACATCCCCTTGGGAATGGGAATGGTCCCTTGGGAATGGGAAATGGTCCCTTGGGAACAGGGAACATCCCCTTGGAAATGGGGAACAGCTCCTTGAGAAACAGGGAATGGTCCCTTGGGAATGGAAAACGGTTCCTTGGGAATGGAAAACGGTCCCCTGGGAACAGGGAATATCCCCTTGGAAATGGGGAACAGCTCCTTGGGAAACAGGGAATGGTCCCTTGGGAATGGGATCATCCCATTGGGAACGGGCACGGTCCCTTGGGAACAGGGAATATCCCCTTGGGAATGGGAACGGTCCCTTGGGAACAAGGAACATCTCCTTGGGAACGGGCACGGTCCCTTGGGAACAGGGAATATCCCCTTGGAAATGGGGAACAGCTCCTTGGGAAACAGGGAAAGGTCCCTTGGGAATGGGATCATCCCATTGGGAATGGGAAGGGTCCCTTGGGAATGGGAACATCCCATTGGGAATGGGAACGGTCACTTGGGAATGGAGAGCGGTCCCATGGAAACAGGGAATGGTCCCTTGGGAATGGGGAATGGTCCCTTGGGAAATGGGGAACGCTCCTATGGAAAAAGGGAATGGTCACGTGTGAATGGGAACATCCACTTGGGAACAGGAACACACTCTTGGAATGGGGAACAGTCCCATGGAAACAGGGAATGGTCCCTCGGGAAGGGGGAATGGCTGGGATGAGGGAAACACTTCATGTCCATGGGAATTGGCTGGGGAGAGGGCTGGAGGGAAATGGGGGAAAGGAGGAAGGGAGGGAGGGAAGAAAGGAGGGAAGAAAAAGAGGAGGAAAAAAGGAGGGGAAAAAAAACGAGGGAAAAAAAAAAGGAGGGGAAAAAAGAAGGGGAAAAAAGAAGGGGAAAAAAGAAAGGGAAAAAAAAGGGGGGAAAAAAAGGGGGAAAAAGAAGGGGAAAAAAGAGGGAAGAAAAAGAGGGGGGGGGGAAAGGAGGGGGGAAAAAAGGAGGGGAAAAAAAGGAGGGGAAATCTGGGAAGGGGAGAGGAAAAGGCAGGGAAAGAACAGATGGAGGGAGGGACAGAGGAGAAAAGGAAAATCCGGGAAAGAGGGAGAGAAGGAGAGAGGGAAGGAGGGATGGAGGGGAGGAAGGAGAAAAGGAGGAAAAAGGGAGGGAGGGAAGGGAAAGAAGGAAGGGAGGAAAAGAAGGGGAAAATGCAAGGAGAAAAGGATGGGGGNGAACCCTCCCATCCATGGGCACCAGGAGAACATTCCCAGAGTTCAGCCTTTAATCCTAGGAATCGGACAACCCTATCCATGGACAGCATTTCCAGAGGCCAGCCCTCAGTACGGACATGGAATGATCCCATCCACTGGTACCAGGAAAGAATTCCCCGCCTAGTGGATCTCCATCCATGGGCACCAGGAGAACATTCCCAGAATCTGGCTCTCAACCCTAGGGATAGAACCACCCCATCCATGTCACCAGGAGAACATTCCCGCAGTCCAGCCCTAAACCCCAGGCATGGAATGAGCTCATTCACGGACAACATTCCCATGGCTGGATCCCATTCCTGCGGATCTTGTACCACCTGGTGGATCACCTGCTCTCCACCACCTGGTGGATCTCCATCCATGGGCACCAGGAGAACATTCCCACAGTCCAGCCCTCAACTTCAAGGATGGAACCACTCCAACCATGGATATGAGGAGAGCATTCTCGTGGCTGGATCCCATCCCCATGGATCCCACCGCTCCTGGTGGATCTCCATCCATTGGCACCAGGAGAACATTCCCGCAGCCCAAACCTAAGCCTCAGCCATGGAATGATCCCATCCAGGAGCACCGGGAGAACATTCCTGTGGCCGTGTCCTGTCCTTTGTGGATCCCATCCCCTCGGATCCCATCCCTGTGGATCCTGTCACACCTGGTGGATCTCTGTCCATGGGCACCAGGAGAACATTCACTCAGCCCAGGCCTAAACCTCAGGCATGGAATGATCCCATCCATGAGCATCAGGAGAACATTCCTGTGTCCGTATCCTGTCTCTGTGAATCCCATCTCTGTGGATCCTATTACATCTGGTGGATCTCCATCCATGGGCACCAGAAGAACATTCCCATAGTTCAGCCCTCAATCCTAGGGATGGAACCACCCCATCCATGAGCACCAGGAGAACATTCCCATGGCTGGATCCCATCCCCATGGATCCCATTGCACCTGGTGGATCTCCATCCATTGGCACCAGGAGAACATTCCAGCAGCCCAAACCTAAGCCTCAGGCATGGAATGATCCCATCCATGAGCACTGGGAGAACATTCCCGTGGCCGGATCCCATTTCCATGGATCTCCTTTCACCTGGTGGATCTTTATCCATGGGCACCAGGAGAATATTCCTGTGTCCATATCCGTCTCTGTGAATCCCATCCCCGAGGATCCTGCCGCACCTGGTGGATCTCCATCCATTGGCACCAGGAGAACATTCCCACAGTCCAGCCCTCAATCCCGGGAATGGAACCATCCCATCCATGAGCACCAGGAGAACATTCCTGTGTCCATATCCCGTCTCTACGAATCCCATCCCCAAGGATCCTGCCGCACCTGGCAGATCTCCATCCATGGGCACTGGGAGAACATTCCCGCAGCCCAACCCTCAACCCCAGGCACGGAACCCCCCCATCCACNGCCACTTCCCCCCCAATGTCACTGTCCCCAAATCCCACAGATTCCACCACGGGATGTTATCCTGTGGAACCCAAAATCAGGGGCTCCAAGGAGGAACAGCCTCATCCCAGGGCAGGGATGGATTCCACCCTCTGGATTTGGGAATGGTGAGCCAGGAGTTTGCTCTTGGTGTCCCAGGCTGGTGCCACCACCCCTGCAGTGTCCCCTGCCCCAAAATCCCCTGGATTCAACCCTGGGACCCAAACTCTGGAGTTCTGAGGAGAAACAGCCTCAAACAGCTTTATCCAGGGACAGGAAATGGATTCCACCCTCTGGAATTGGGAATAGGGATCCAGGAGTGTCCGGGGGTGGTGCCACCTCCCCCATGGTGTCTCCTGTCCCCAAATCCCACAGATTCAGCCCTGGGGACCCAAACCCTGGAGCTCCAAGGAGGAACGGCCTCATCCCAGGGCAGGGATGGATTCCACCCTCTGGATTTGGGAATGGGGAGATCCAGGAGCACCCAGGGGTGGTGCCACCTCCCTTGTGGTGCCCCCTGTCCCAAAATCCCACAGATTCCACCACGGGATGTTCTGTGGAACCCAAAACCAGGGGCTCCAAGAACATCCCAGGGCAGGGATGGATTTCACCTCTGGAATTGGGAATGGGGAGATCCAGGATTGTCCGGGGCTGGTGTCACTTCCCCCGCAATGTCACTGTCCCCAAATCCCACAGATTCCACCACGGGATGTGCTGTGGAACCCAAAATCAGGGGTTCCAAGGAGGAACAGCCTCATCCCAGGACAGGAAATGGATTCCACCCTCTGGATTTGGGAATGGGGATCCAGGAGTGTCCAGGGGTGGTGCCACTTCCCCCCCAATGTCACTGTCCCCAAATCCCACAGATTCCACCATGGGATGTTCTGTGGAACCCAAAACCAGGGGCTCCAAGGAGGAACAGCCTCATCCCAGGACAGGGATGGATTCCACCCTCTGGATTTGGGAATGGGGAGATCCTGGGCTGGTGCCACCTCTCCTGCAGTGTCCCTGTCCCTGTCCCCGTCCCTGTCCCTGTCCCGTCCCACCTGGTTGTAGAGGGCGCAGATGTGCAGGGCGGTGTTTCCTGAGGCGTTCTGCGCCGCCA